AGTGGGAGCTCTTTTTTAATTATTTTTTTAAAGACTGGCCACAAGTTCAAGGACTGCACCGACAAATGGCGTGGCCAAACTGGCTGACGAACTTTATTTAAAAGAAATAAATGGAAAATTTGGAAAATCAGTAAAAGAGGCAGCCTCAAAGACATGGCAAATTTTCCCCTTAGGTGGCGCAAGAAAAATTTCAGAACCATTTTGTTTTAAATTAAAAGAATTGGAAAGGCTAGGGAAGTCAGGGGGAAAAAAACAACGGGTGCAATGCTTGGTTTCCTGGGGGAGGTGGTGGTGCAGGCAGTCAGGGGGCCGCACGTTGCCAACCTCCGCGCTTGGAGCAGAGCAGCTGGCTCAACCAAAGAGCCAAAAACACACGAGCAAATCTCCAGGCACCTTGGACGAACCACCAGCTGCAAGCCAATAAAGGCAACAACCTTGTCTTCTTTTCATCTCTCCCATCAACCGCAACTACACTCATTAAGCGAGTTTATAATCATCATCATCTTAGAACGGCAGAGCTGGAAGGGACCCTGTGGATCATCTAGTCCAGCCCCTATCAGGGAGACCCAGTGGGTGAATTGAACTCCCAGCCTCCGGCTCTCCAGCCAGAGACCTCAACCACTGAGCTCTCCAGCATGAGCTTCTAGTCTCAAGCTCACGGGAACGGTGATGGCAGCTACAGAGCTCTAAGACGATCTGTTATTTTGTAGGAGAGAAAATGGACTTTCAAACATGGAAAACGGTTGGGTGCAACGAATGCATTTGGGTAGAAGCCACTGCTCTTCTTTTGAAGGGCCGATCCTCTCTTGAGAAGGTCGATATCCTTTCCTAGATGCAGGGCTGTCACATTTAACTCCTGCAGTTCTTCCTACACGGTCTCCCTCTGATCGTTAAAGCAGCTTTATATATTTTTTAAAAAGTTAGCCTTCCCACTTTTGCAAGGACGTTCTTTTTAACACCTCTCTCTTCATTAGCTTTTGCTGGAGTGTCAGTATTTATGTCCTAAGCAATGAATGGAAACCATATTGCTTACTGCATAATTTCCAATTCCTTAATGCACTAATAGTTTCCAATAAAGACTTCACAGCTGCTAAGTTCAGACTTGCCTCGCCTAATTGTTGCGCGGCCGGCTTTTTAAAGAAGTTATTAAACTCCCGTCCTAGGTGTTTCAGGTCAGGGTGACCCAAGGTGCTGATGGAGAGGCTCTGCCCAGACCTGAAACTGGATGAATCCCGGGGGGGTGGGGGGGTGGAAAGACCCTCCACAGCTGACTCAAGGACCCCTAAGGAATCTGTTGTTTTCCCATCAAGAATGTCATGGTTGCATTTGCGCCATAGGGGGTTAAGTAAGGCTTCTGCCCTTAAGCGAGATCTGATCCTTCGCAGCACAAACAACGTGACTTCAAGTGCTTTGCCCTCCGGGTGCGAGGGACTCCTTTGCTTTTGCACAGCTACAGAAACAAGATATTACCTTGATTGGTTTTGCAGTGGCTGTTACCTCTGATAGCATTCATCATCTCAACTGAAAGAACTGGGCGTGTTTAGCCTTGAGAAAAGGGGTGGTGGTGATACCATAGCACTTTTCAAAGATCATCCCACAGAGGAGGGCCAGGATCTGTTCTGGATCCTCCCAGAGTGCAGGACACATCATCATCATCATCATAAAGGGGCTCAAGCTACAGGAAGCCAGAGGCGTGCTGAATATTAGGAAAAAACTTCTTAACTGTTGGAGTGGCACAACAATGGAACCCACGAACCCAGGAGGTGGTGAGCGCTCCAACACTGGAGGAATTCAAGAGGAGATTGGACCCCCATCTATCAGATCTGCTAGGAAGACAGATTTTTCAGGATGCTCGTAATACAAGCCCTACCCCAAAAATAAGCCCCAGTTAAGTGAAACCCTACCCTCCACCCTTGTGCAGCAACCAGAAGATGACATGACTGTAAAATAAAACATCCCCTGTGTTTTTTAGAGCAAAAATTAATATACAAGACCATGTCTCCTTTTCAGGGAAACACGGTAGCTGTATATGTGTTTCTGTGTGTATGTGTGTGTTTGTTGTTTGTTTAAAATATTTTAGCCCATATACAAATATTTTGAAAGTATCAAACAAATACCACAATAAAAAAGGTAAACAAAACCAACATCAAAAATACATACAAAGCAACAGGGTGCAACAATCCATCTCAAAATCACACACAGGTAGCTAGCTAATGAGGGAAAGCTTGCCTGAAGAGAAAGGTCTTTGCCTGCTTGCAAAAGGACAGCAAAGATGTGGCCGGGCTAGCCTCCAGTGGGAGGGAGTTCCAGATCCTGGGAGCAGCCGCAGAGAAGGTCCTCTCCCATATCCCCACCAAGCACACCGTTTTTGGAAAATATAATTGTGTGATCAGGCCCTCTCCCATATCCCCACCAAACACACCGCTTTTGGAAAATATAATTGTGTGATCAATATTGCCAGGGCTGTTTATTCCATTGAACTTACACTGGTGTAATTGGCCCGTAGAATTCTATCCATTCTCTCAGTAATGCTGCAAACTTTGCAAGTGGATTCTCAGCCTTTTTTTTCTGAAGAGCAAACGTACTTAGTTTTTAATGGCTTTTTTTTGTGCTTTCTGCCCTAAATAATTTTGTACTTGTTTTCCTGTAAGCCTTGAGGCTTTCCTGAGCCTGCTTGATTTCTCCCTCCCTCTCTCTCCCTCTCTTTCACAGCAACCAAATTTTGGCTCTAACTCTGGATCCCCCTGTCGAGCCAGAAAGAGGAAGATAAAACACCATTCTCCCATGCCTAATGGGACAACACAGTCCGACCGGCCTACCTCAGCCGCACAAGCATCACTGTGCATGCAAGGGACATTGTGCCGCTGAACAAGCCCAAGAATCGGTCTGCCTGAAACCCATCCTTCTACACCCACACAAAGGCAGCATCAAGATTTGAAATATAGGGCTCTCTTGAGCTCTTTAAGGAATGTCTGCAGAAGATCTTCCAGAGATGTGTTTGGAGATGGAGCAGTGGGGGTTGGGGGGGACGCATCATCATCCTAAAGAGCATGCCTGCCAAATAGCTCAGTTTTGCGTACATACACACACAGAGTTTTGCACACATACACACTTGCCCTGCTTCTCAGGGTTATAAATGAACCCCAGGGGGATTCGGCAAAAAACGTTGGGCTGCAAATATGCTTAGCCGGAGAGATCATGTTCAGCAGCCGAGGACCGTTGTGGGGAATCCATCAGCCCCGGACAATAACTGAAGAGGGAAGGATCTGGTTGCCGTGGAACGAGGTCTGGCAAAATGAGTAGAAATACTGAGGGGCACAAGGTGGCATGATCAGGAGACCAAGCACATCCCAGGCTTGGAAAGATGAATGAGGGGAGACAATGGATACATATGAAGAACCACAAGAGTCCACCCACAGAGTGCCATCAGTTTTTTTGTTTTTTAAAAGTGATTCTGTGCAGCTTGATCAGCCCTCGGCGTGCCGACTTGACTTTACCACCACGGCTGACCTGGCATCTCGTTGATACAGATTGGAAAAATAGGTTCGGAACCATCAGGGCCATAACTGGCCTCAACGTAATCCGGATTTGGTGGGTGTTCCTTGAAGTTTGCTGTTAATCCTGGAAGTGTGTCTCAAAGCCTGAAAAATGCTCTGGTCAATAGATCAGTGGTTCCCAACTTTGGGTCCTCCAGATGTTCTTGGACTGCAACTCCCTGAAGCTTTGACTGGGCTGGTCACAGGATTTCTGGAAGTTGTACTCCAAGGAACATCTGGAGATCCCAATGTATTGGGAAGCACCTGTGTAGAGGGGTGGATCTCAAAATACACAAATAACATTGAAGGTTCGGACAACCATCAGGTCTCGGAGTCACCAAAAGAGCAGCAGGTGGCTCAGCACATGCGCGCACACCCAGTCCCTGTGTTCAGGAGACACTGCACACCTCCAGCATTCGGAGCGTAGGAAAGCATTCAGACCTATGTGACTACAGTTCCCATTATCCACCATGGCCACACCAGCCGCTGGCGTTGTACACACACCTGTTCAGAGCTGGGAGGGATAACTCTCAGAACCCAGCATCCATTGCAATTATGCTAGATGGGGGATGCTGGGCATTGTAGTCGTGACTTTTCCAAGTGGCAAATATCCGGGATAGGCATGAAAAGAGGAGTAGGGTTTTTTTCCTAAGTTCTGTACCTATCCCTTAATTACATCTAATAAGATAAAAGGAGAGCCCTTGGTTTAGAAGGGGTAAGAGTTAGAGAGGTGCTTGCCCCCCCCCTTTAAACACCAACCCTTCATTTTGCAAGGAACAATGCGAGCCACTTCCTTAGGAGGGGAAGGCAAGCCCAAAACACCTCCAGATGCCAGGCCAGTTTTCAGTTTCAGGGGAAGATGCTTGGAGGAGCCGTGCATGGCACCTCAGGGAGGCAATAATAATAATAATAATAATAATAATAATAATAATAATAATAATAATAATAATAATAA